GTTGAAGGCACAAAGCGTCCTAATTCAAAATCTAGTGAAGTGGACGAGTAATATTCAATATTTTTCTTCGCGTGCCTGTCCCCTGTCCTCAAATTTTGGTATAACAGAATTAGACAAAGTTAATTTCTAACACTTTATTTTAATTTTTAATTTCTCGGTGCGTTAATATATATATGGTTTTCTAGAAAAAAATAAAACAAAGAATAAAAGTTGCGATAATGTTTACGTGTGTTTAATGTCTGCTTCACTGAAAATGGAAAACTTTTTACATAATACGAAGAAGAAAGAACGGGTCTTTAAGTTATGCTGCAGTGAATCGGAAAACCTTGTCAATTTTTTATTTGTACCCCCTTACTTTTTTTTTTTTTTTTTACAAAAATGACATGCTTCCATACTTAGGATAGCAATATCTTGCCAATTTTTTTAAGCTCAAATATTTAACGAAGACGAAGCAGCAGCAGAATTTCCATAGGTATCGAACTCACAAGGAGCTTATTTAATCCAGGGTCTTGATTCATCGGAGAATTCAAATAGGAAAACCGTGAAATTTTCATGGGCACTGCCAGTTATTATTATTGTTAAGTGAGAGAGCAGTACATCAACAAAGTGACACTGGGGGTCGAATACGCAAAACCTAGGATATAGAGCCGGATGGAATTGTAATAGAGACGATTTCGGCATAGACAAGATTACAGAAAATAATAATTTAAATATACAACAGTGGTGATATACCGGAAGACCTAAGTAGATCTATTTTTATAGCACTTCCTAAGAAGCCAAGTGCAAACGAATGTGAACTCCATCGAACAATCAGCTTAATGAATGATATAACGAAACTTATCATCATAATTCTGATGAATAGAGCGCACAGCAGAATCAGACCGGAAATAGGACAGTAACAGTGCGGGCGCGTCAAAGATACTGGAACAAGGAATGTAATATTTTTACTCAGAATGCTATCAGAAAGATCAATAAAAATGCAGAAGGACGTTTACCCATGTTTTATAGATTACGCAAAGGCGTCCGATAAAGTACGCCACAAAGATCTGTAGCAACTGCTCAGCCATCTTGATATATTTGGGAAGGATATTGGAATAATCAAGAACCTATACTGGCAGCAAACCGCTTGCATGCGGACAGAAAATAAGTTATGCAGATATACAAAAATAGAAAAGGTTGTAAGACAAGGATGTGTCTTCTCACCGGACTTATTCAATCTATACAATGAGGCGATTCTAAGAGAAATAAAAGTCTTACTAGGATTCATTATTAGTGGACACATTCTCAAAAACATACGATATGCAAATTACACAGTGTTGATGGCGGACACAGAAAAGAAAACTAGCAAAACTCCTACAAAAGGTAGTTAAGGAAAGCAAGAAGAAAGGACTATCAACTGTATGAAGTCGGAATGTCTGGTTGTAAGCAAAAGGAAGAGCCCAACTTTTGGGTTTCAAATCGGAGATACAAGAATCAAACAAGTGCGGAAATTTAAATGTCTGTGAAGTGTTTTAACGGAGGACGAAACGTGTGACACTGAAATCCGAAGACGCATTCGGATAGCGAAAGATGCCCCCTAAAAGATAAGCAAAGTATTAAGGAACAAGAAAAAGGATACTAAACTCTTACGTTCTCCTGTATGGCAGTGAGTGCTGGAAAAAAACCTCAAAGATAAAGAAGAGACTTCAAATGTGTTTCTACAGTAGGATGTTGAGGATACCCTGGATCGACGAAGATTTACAGAGAATGGAAACACAAAGGAAATGTATACATAAGGAAGAGGCAGTTAAACGATCAACAATACCTATTTATAGTAAGATGACCAGCAATAGATTTTGTCCGTAGTTGAAGGCATGCAACTGCATTCAAAATACAGGCTGTCCCCAAGAAAAAAAAAAAAATTACCGTCCTTGGTATGACGATAAACTGCATCCGCGTCCTGGGTAAACTATGTCCGACAACAAGGCCTCCGATCAACAGGTTTTGAGGAGCGTGGGACCACCTCTTAATTGCTGGTGTTCTCAGATCCACACTGACTCGGTGTAGTAGCACCTGTTAGGGTCCCAACTATGGGAAAATAATTAACTTAAAATGGGGCCAAAACACTCTGAAAGTGTAAAAATGGTTTTAATATCAGAAATAATTTTTGTAAAAAATTATTACCAGAAATACATTATTACCAGCAAAACATTTTTGAAAAAAATATTACCAGCAATACATCTTTCTGGAATAAATATTACGTGCAATAAAAAATTTTGTTGAAATTAAATAATCCATAATGAAGTTGATATGCCGTAAAAAAAAACAAACCAAACCAAAAAAATTTAACATCATTTTGAAGGCCAATAATTTTGACAATTCTTGTTGAAATAACCTCAAATCTTCACAATGTATAGAAACATATCAAGATTTTATATTTAACGGAAGAGGACAGTTAGTGCTTATCTCAATGAGAGTCTGCCAAAGAGATGGATCGGGCGTGGTGGAGATGAAGATATTTTTCTGATGAAATGGCCGCCGCGGTCACCGGACTTATCCCCGTGTGATTTCTTTTTAGAGGGATATGCGAAGGGACTATCTGTGTCGCCCCTTTTCCTGCTAACATTAATGAACTCAAGCAGAGAATCATTTCTGGACTTGATAATGTTACCAGAGACATGCTACAGCGTGTTTGGTAAGAGCTTAACTACCGACTTGACATGTGCTGTGTCACATGCGGCGCATATATTGAACACTTATGAAATCAGTCCCATAATAAACTTGTGATGTTCAACACCTAAACTGTTCAATTTCATTGAGCTAGATTTATTACTTTTCAAGATAACTGCTTTCAAAATGATGTCAAATTTTGGGGGAACCCATGTATATTTAGCTGAAGTCATAAAATTGTGTTCAAAATATTTAGATTTCGGCATTAAATAACCCATAGAGGTGTTGATATGCCGCTAAACAAAATCAACCAACCAACAATACCTATTTATAGTATTTATTTAGTTGAAGTCATAAAATTGTGTTCAAAATGTTTAGATTACGGCATTAAATAACCCATAGAGGTGTTGATATGCCGCTAAACAAAATCAACCAACCAACAATACCTATTTATAGTATTTATTTAGTTGAAGTCATAAAATTGTGTTCAAAATGTTTAGATTACGGCATTAAATAACCCATAGAGGTGTTGATATGCCGCTAAACAAAATCAACCAACCAACAATACCTATTTATAGTATATATTTAGTTGAAGTCATAAAATTGTGTTCAAAATGTTTAGATTTCGGCATTAAATAACCCATAGAGGTGTTGATATGCTGCTAAACACAATCAACCAACCAACAATATCTATTTATAGTATTTATTTAGTTGAAGTCATAAAATTGTGTTCAAAATATTTAGATTTCGGTATTAAATAACCCATAGAGGTTGATATACCGCTAAACAAAATCAACCAACCAACTATACCTATTTATAATATATATTTAGTTGAAGCCATAAAATTGTGTACAAAATATTTAGATTTCGGCATTAAATAACCCATAGAGGTTGATATGCCGCTAAACAAAATCAACCAACCAACAATACCTATTTATAGTATATATTTAGTTGAAGCGATAAAATTGTGTTCAAAATATTTAGATTTCGGCATTAAATAACCCATAGAGGTTGATATGCTGCTAAACACAATCAACCAACCAACAATATCTATTTATAGTATTTATTTAGTTGAAGTCATAAAATTGTGTTCAAAATATTTAGATTTCGGTATTAAATAACCCATAGAGGTGTTGATATGCCGCTAAACAAAATCAACCAACCAACTATACCTATTTATAATATATATTTAGTTGAAGCCATAAAATTGTGTACAAAATATTTAGATTTCGGCATTAAATAACCCATAGAGGTTGATATGCCGCTAAACAAAATCAACCAACCAACAATACCTATTTATAGTATATATTTAGTTGAAACCATAAAATTGTGTTCAAAATATTTAGATTTCGGTATTAAATAACCCATAGAGGTATTGATATGCCGCTAAACAAAATCAACCAACCGATCAACTATAGCCTATTACAAGATGAAATCACTGATCCGTGAATTTGATAGTATTGTAATTGTGAATTCTGTCACTGGGATGACTTAGACTCGCTTGTATCCGGGTGAGTAATAACTAAGAAAAACTAAAGAAAAAGACGGGATATGTTCTCTGAAGTTCTATCAAGTTTAGTCGGATCGACAAGCACCTGGGGGACAGAACAGCCGAAACGTTCTGATTATAAGAACAAAAACGAGGAGATTAGCTCTAGTGTAAATAAAGGGAACAGCAATATTTACTGCGGCACATTTTAATTCCTCAAGCAAAGCATGTACATTATAATACAGACAATCAATTAAGATCCGAAACGCTGAGAACCATGTAGCGTCTTATCCAGAGAGCACCTCCCCAGAGTAGACAAGATGGTACATCCTGATGCCTGCATCAAACCAACCTGACGATATAACTTGATATTTCATTCCTAACTCACTCAGGAAAATCGTCTTTTCCACATCAAGTCGAGATACTGAACCAATATAAAATTATTAACTTTGCGTTACAACAGTGAGGTTTAATCTAAAATATATGGTAATACATACCAGTATCAATATTAAACATAGCAAAAAAAGTGATCAGGTCACGTTTTCTATGTATACGTGTAACTATGTATTTTTAATTATGAATAGATATAAAGGCGAAACCAGCCATCTACAGGGACAGTAAGGGTTGAAATATGTATCGGTTGAAATATTGTAGTCATATCAATAAAAACAGAGCAATAGCCCAATTATCAAATACTGCTTTAGAGTCATGTGGTTGAAAGAGTTTTTTTTTTATATTTCACCCCAAGCAAGGCAATAATGCCACTAAGACGCAAAAAAACTGAAACAGGATGCACGAGATAAACCTCTAATCTTGTTCAGAAGACGGCTTCAGATGATCGTTCTTTAATCCAATAACTTCCTTAATAAACGAATGACCAGTTCCGGTAGTGGTAACCACGCCTCTTCCGGTTAATATTAGCCAGTCGTTGTTCGTATCCGATTTCAGAGTGCCAGTTTTGGGAAACAGTGATTCGTTTCGGCCGACTTGGTATTGTGTTATAAAAGAAGGTGCTGGACGCTTTCGTATGAAAGACAGGCGGTCGTTCCGATACTTTTGGGACGACCAAAGGCACCCAGTAAGGAAGACGAATAGGTGTTTTCCTGAAACATAATAACAATTTAAAAAAGCAAGTTAATCATTTAGCGTTTATATTTCAAATTATTGAAGGAATTCTGTCGTCAGAAGTAAATAAAAAATAGGAAAGGACATTTTTTTTTCTAATCAATATCTTGAAAGAATAAAGAACAAATGAAAATATGACGAGTGTTTTTAATGCAGGGTGACAAATCGTGTCATGTTTCCTTGAATTCAGAACGCCAATCAATATTGACACAGTGAATTCATACTTTTCGGTGTCACCCCATTCAAGGCAATAAAGCCACTAAGATACAAAAGGTTACAGGACGTGGAAGAATTAGAAACAGAAACATTAATAATGAGTGGAAAGAGAAAAGAGTAATCAGGAGGAAAATAGACAGCGATTAACATTGCATTTAAATTTTTGCAGATCAAAGCCGGCTGGAAAAACAAGGAGCCGGAAAGCAGTTCCACAATTGAGAAGTGCGGGAAAAGAAACTGTTAGCATAGAATTTACGGCTACATCGAGCTAATTCAACTGTCAATTGATAAGATCTTGACGCCAGTCTAGTAGTGGGTTTAAATTTAAAATCATAGGTACCGTAGCTAAGAGCTCACCCGAACAATTACCATAAAAGTATTTATAGAAAAAGCACGGAAGCAATCTTACAGCGGTAGGAAAGTGACTGAATCCGAGTTGCCTGATCAGGACCAATAATATTGCTGATACTTCTTTGGATCTTATCAAGGAGATCAAGGTAAATAGCAAAGGCACCGGACCATATGTGGCAGCAATATTCTAAGCATGGACGAATGGTAGACATATAGATATGTATGATAGATTCTGGAAATAAAAATTGTCTTGCATGACACTGTGAACTAACTTGCTGAGAAGCTGTCCTAGCAATAGATTTAATATTGGCCTGGGGAAACTATCCCCACATATGACACTGTTACGAAATGCCTGAAGACCATTGCATGGGTTGACACAAGTCTTGTATGTGAAATTGGTTAGACAAAATGGTTCAGAGACCATCAATGGTTGTGTTGGCATAATGTCACAATTCATCATGAACATATGAGCCGATAAACTGATAATCATACAAGATTCCCCACTCTCTTAAAAAAAAAAAACTGTAACTAAGGTCTATTCAGCATAGTCATTTATGGAGGAATTTTGTATCCAGTCATACTTTAGATAATATTGCTGATTCTTTTTTGGATCTTATCAAGGAGCTCAAGGTAAATAACAGGGACATTGGACAATATGTGGCAGCAATATTCTAAGCATGGACGAATAATAGACCTATAGATATGTAAGATAGATTCTGGAGAGAAAAATTGTCTGGGCCGACACAATGAAGCGATTTTCTTAGCAGCTGACCTAACAATGGATTCAATATAGTCTTCCAACTTCATGTCAGACGAGAATTAACGTTATCAAAATTACTCAACATTTCAGGTAATTTTGATAACGGAAAAAATAAAATATATTTTGTCTAGGATCCAATCGAATATTGACGATAATCACAGGCGACGGGATATTGAATTACCGCCCTTTTGACGATAATCACGGGCAGCGCGAGATTTGAAAGCGTCTTTCTCTTTCCCGTTGCTAGCGACAAGACGTCTCCTTGCGTTCTGTCAACATGTTAATACCTCAGAGACACATACTGAAGATTGCTTTGAACTCTTCAAAGCTTTAAATTCAAAGACGGATATGCAATGTAATTGGCCCTGATCTGCCATCTCGTCTGCAGTCGCTCTCTCACCGACGTGCCATCGTCTACCTCTGTATTTTTTACAAATACTTTCTCGGACCAATCTTAATTGTTTTATTGGCCTTCACGCAGAACTTTTTCACTGCCAGTCCAAGGAAGACATTTGGGTCACTAACACACACACACACACACACACACACGCACACACATACATACATATATATACATATATATTACCATCCTTTCTAATCCTATTCCGCCATATATTTACAGAAGCTGACTGGTGGCCCGTTACCTCTCAGTTTTTTACTTTCGATATGTCCTGTGACCTGCAATTTTGTGAGAGGGTTTTCCTTCTCTTAGAATGTTTGCCACCTAAGGCTATGGTGTCTAGTTTACTATGCTATTTAAACTATAGTTAGTGAAAACAAGAGACGTGTTCATACTTATCCCAATGACATTACTGCGAAATTGAATGCAAAATTCAAATTGCGGAATTTGTCCTCGGGTCGCCGAGAATACTCTCCACGCTGACTATGTGTTATACTAACAACAGATGAAAAATAATAAGACAAATATTTTTTAATACTTTTAAATATCAAAAGCCATTAAAAAACATTTTTTAATTCTTTTAAACATCAAAAGCCATTAAAAACATTTTTTAAATTCTTTTAAATATCAAAAGCCATTAAAATAACTTTTTAATACTTTTAAATATCAAAAGCCATTAAAAAACATTTTTAGTGCTTTTGAATATCAAAAGCCATTAAAAACATTTTTTAATTCTTTTAAACATCAAAAGCCATTAAAAACATTTTTAATTCTTTTAAACATCAAAAGCCATTAAAAACATTTTTTTAATTCTTTTAAATATCAAAAGCCATTAAAATAACTTTTTAATTCTTTTAAATATCAAAAGCCATTAAAAAATTAATTATTTTAAATATCAAAAGCCATTAAAAAACATTTTAATTTACTTACTTTAACCCAAATTTATTTCCCTGGAGTTCCATTCGCCAACCATTTTCGCGTAAACTTCGCTCATACTCATCGAAGTCGTACTGGGCAATTTCCTTGATCGCCAGCTTTCTGACATCAGCCATATTTGCACATGCGCTTTTGCTCGGTTCTACTTCCGGTTTTACCGAGTCCCCTTTCGATGGTTGTCGAACTTCGATCCGAGAATTTTCTAGAGAGTTATCCCCCTTGTCCTTCTTGCCGAGTGCGACCACATTCTTACCGGTTATGGCGACATTTTGAAGCACATTCTTGTTCTCATTTTGAACCACACCACGAATTTGATGTCGGCCAGAGAAATTGTTTGGGTCAGTTATTTCCGATGTTTGCTTATCTATACTTCGGTTCGATGAGCCTAAAATCTTCGAACTGTAATCGATATATTTTGTGTTACTTTTGTTAGGATTTTCCTTCTTAGCTCCTCTTCCTCGACCGTCTGCCGATGTTATCCTGGGCCGATACACACGGCTCGAGAAACTACTTGCTCTGTTTCGGGATCCAAAGACACCGTTAGCGGAATTTTTAAGAATATTTCCTGGGGCTGGTATAGATGATTTTAAGAGTGAAGCTTTAGTGATGTCAGTGTTACCAACGGCGCCATCAGGAGGAGTTACAACTATCGTGGGCGAGTCGACAGATCGCTGCGTTTTAGAATGTCGATTTATTCGCGCTGACAAGATTTTCCGAATACATTGTTTCTCATCAGGTTTATTTCCGGTCTCCACGGACGCTGAGTAAGGGCGAACCCTTGTCGAAGATTTAGAATCAAAGTTTACTACTAACGAACTTTGAGTAGGCGTTTGCAAATGCTGGTTTGATTTAGGGGAAGACACTTCGTTCGTCGGTTGCTCGGTGTTCGGGATTGCGGGTGGCGTTTTAGTTTCCGGTTTGGAACGAGCATCGCTTGTTAACTGGCGTGAATCAAGCTCATCACACGGTTCCGGCTGGAGAAGAGGGACGCTTTTACATCGTCTCAGAAACTCAACGGGGGACAATTGTTTTTCTTCTTCTTGTGCCGTCTTCCGGCTGATCCGGAAACCGATCGTTGGGACGTTGATATCGGAAGGGCGGTACTTTTCGAGGTGTTGATTGGTCGCTTGTCGATACAGACACTCAATTTCTGAAACAAGAGAAGGAAGAATTTCTATTACATTATTTTCTTAAAAGTTGGCTTCATGATACGGATATAGATTTTACAAAACTGAAAGAAAAGAACAAGGGTCACGTGTGTCTTTCTTAAATATATGCTGGGCCAACAACAGAGTCTGCCCTCAAAAAGCGTTCTGGCAGCGTTTTAGCATATATATATATATATATATATATATATACTAGCAATAGAGCCCGGCGTTGCCCGGTGATGTAACAGTAAGAGATAGATCAAGTATCGACCATCATAAAGACTGAAAAATAAAATTGACAAAGATTATTGTTTAAGGTTGACGGACACGCATGTCTTTAGGTTTTTTTTGGTTTTGTTTTGTTTTGTTTTTTGTTTTTGTTTTTACGAATTGGTCAAACCCAACTCAAACAAAAACATTGTTTTCAATCGTTATGAGTCTACCGATTGAATAGAATTTTATTATAAACAATTGCCTTGTAAATGGAATTTTTAAAGCATTCTGAATGTAAAAATAAAGAAAAAAGTGTGCAAGACAATAAGAAACACTACCTGCCAAAAAAAAGTGAAGTTTTGTTGAAATCGTTTGAAAAATGTAGGAAATGCGATCCCTTATATAAACGAACACACACACACACACACACACACACACACACACACACAAACAACCTGGGTTTTATAAGTATAACACGATATGAGTTGTCCCCCTTTCATTCTCGCGATGCCTCTTAATCGTGTTTTCAAATTGCTTTTGTGCAAAAACAATTGTGTTTTTCCCATTTTGGGCGCTGTCAGAACCACGGCAAGGTAATTTTACGTATTCCTGTGAAGTTTAGTTGAAATCGGTTGAAAAATGTAGGAAATCCGATCCAATATATAAATGAACACACACACACACAAAACTGGTTTTATAATAAGCATGATATATATATATATATATATATATATATATATATATATATATATATATATTATAATAATAATCAAATCACGTGTGTGGGTTTTCTGGCGGTTTATCTTGATTCTTTTATTCTTATCCACATAGTTCACTTGCAAGGTCCGCTGGCGAGAGAGTGAAGGCGACGGGGTCAGGTAAAGGATATTACTGGAAGGCTCTAGCTGGAGCTCTACACAGTGGCAGACCGATGGGTGATGGCCGTTCTTTCACAAACACATGAGCAATTGTGATGTCCATGTCCTCCATCGGTGACAAATCAGCCCTATTTAGGATTGCACTGCTCTCTTTATTATGGAGAGGAGGCAATAAAAGGAGCCCTAAACATTGCTTGCTCACACAGGGACTTGGCAGCCGGCTGCAGCTGTCTGGTTATCCAATAAAGCAGTCGAAACATCAAAAAAGATCAGAATAAGTATAAGAAGAAATTTCCATTTTGGATCCTGGAATGTCCGCACTCTCCAGGACAATGATTCTGCACCAGACTGTTAAATAGATCTTGTTTCTCTCGAGCTGAATATATATATATATATATATATATATATATATATATATATATATACTGATAACGCCGTATCACACAGTATATAAAAGGGCCTTGTCGAAAGTGTTTTGTATAGTTTTATATTTTAGAGTCTGTCTATATTTCTGAGATGAGGTATTATGTACAGCATTTACATTTACTATTGTCCTCATCTTTGTCGCCATATTTGTCACAACGTTTCGGCCGTTGTACGCTCCGGCCTTCTTCAGGTGGTTGGAATTTCGAACTGAACCCTTTACCCCAGTGATCGAAATAAAGGGTTCAGTTCGAAATTGTGGAGACACATACCAACGCCCTGAAGGAACGCGAAACATAGAAGAAAAAGAAGAAATTACATCGTTTCAAACACAACATCTCGAAGAAGATGAGGCTCCAGGACATCTGAATAAGAATCAGTTAAAATAAATGGTGGTACTAAGCTACAGTATAATTAATGTCTTTCTTGTTTTTCACTGGTTCAGTGTAATCCATCGCTATCTGATATTTGGAGATTAGATTGTCCAAGAATGTCATTAAGAGCACAAAATGATTGCCCGACTATGCGTTTGTTCATAAGAATATACATAGGTGAGGAAATTCTTTCCTATCAATGATTCTATATAACTCAGTATTAGTTTATTTGAGAGTAAATACCGTGTGACTACCCTTTGCCTAACAGATGGCATTAAAGATCCAATATTGTGACTTGACGATATATCATAAAACTCTATGTTGCTAGCACAGTACAGCACTTCTATTGGTTTTTTTTTTGCCCTTGTTCGTTCCCCTTTTTAATCTGGGTTATTTTTAGATTTTCACCGTTTTTACCACTTCCTGTTAGCCCTTAGTTATCACCAGGACCGGCGCAATTAACCACTGCCTCAGAGCACGCGGTTCCTTCCTTCTCGTCCTCCTGAATCTTATCCCTAACGATACCATCGCCAGTATGTACCTTTGTAAACTTTTTCTTCGAGCACTGTTCTCTCTTATTTGAACCGTTAAGTTAACCGACTTTTATACGTTTATTTTACTGCTGTATTTCCTGATGTAGAACGCCATTCGCCACGTGTTGACTGTCTACACACGGTTCTTCCTTTCTGAGAACTAACATTGTAATATATTCCTAAATACTTGTCACATTCTTTACTCACTAAGTGACTCTACCTGTTCAGTTTTCGATCTCTTTGCTACATTTCTTTTTCCTGTATCTATTATATTTGTATTTATTTCTTTTTCTAGTTTTAATATTTTGGCTTCCAATAAAACTGCTGCTGATGAACAATGTCTTCAGAGTTTTTACTTAAGGCGTTTATCTCGCTGTCTGAGCAACGCACGTGTGCCGGACGGACGCTTACTGGGGCACAGAACACTGTATCTGTAAAGGAAGACGGCGGGTCGATTCAAGAAGAAACGGCGTGTGCGTGAGTGAGTTTTTCAGCAAGAAGTTGCACCGGGCCACCCTGAAGACAAACACAATCGAATATAACAGCAAGGTAAGCCCCGTAATGACAGGTAGAGGAATGACCATAGCTAGCTTCAATTCAAAAAATGTACTTCACTGGTTTAGCATTGTCTAATATTTGGAGAAAAGACCGAAACTGCCTAATAACTAATGAATAATAATAATAACTAATTTTTGGTCAATAATTACTTTTCAAGTTAAAATCAAATATTCATATTTAGGAGCTCGCCATAAATTACCTATCCAATTGCATATTGAATTACCTATCGGATTACCTACCTAATGTACTATTTACTATCAGGTGTATGCGCGTATATATATATATATATATATATATATATATATATATATATATATAAAGAGGTGGTAGTGGTTCCAACGAGAGAAAAGTATGTATATTAAAAAGAAGAGAAGAGACGTGTCGCAAACGTTTTTAGTTGTAATGTGGATTTTTTTTTAAATATTGTTTTATTTTCCATAATTTTTACTACACGTGTTTCTGGTCTCGTGACCGTCTTCAGTGGAGATTTCCACATATTATTAAAAATAATTAATTTTTTCCTTATGTTTTTCAATGTTAAATATTCTCGATATGAGACATTCTCTGTTTTTGTGTTAGTAATCCGAATATCTTTCTTGTACAACCAAAAACGTTTGTGGCACCTCTCTTCTCTTCCTTTTAATATATATATATATATATATATATATATATATATATATATATTGATGCATGTTTTATTAAATAATATAGACAAGTGTTGTCTATTTTATGCAAAATCCTTTCATATCTCCTGATAAGCTTAATAACATTATCATTGAAAGACGAAAGAAAATCACCATATTGATACATGTTTTTTTTAATCCTATTTAAGCTTTCGGCTTGCATAAATCATTATCAAAGATGACCTTCAGAGAGATAGATAGATAGAAATCACCGATTTAAAAACCTACAATATCGAACGGCTCTAATACAGATATAGATGAAACAAGCAAAGACACGGGCGGTAATCTTCTAAGTCTGGATCTTGGGATGTCCTAATCTAAGGGAATTTCTTTGATTTATGATTCGCACTTATCCTCAGAAATCCCAAGGAATTTTCCTCGCATACAGTTTTGTCTTTCGTTCATTTTAACCCGAGGAAGCCAAAGAGAGCATATGCTCTCCGACGAAACGCGTCGTCCATAAAATTTTCCATTTTGTTTCATCATCTTCACTTCTGTCTCTGATTCCATTATTCACCCTAGAAACACACTAATTTAATATTTAATTTCCTATCAAATTAGCTAACAAAAGATATACTAATCCCTCGAGTAACTTCTCTTTTTAGATAATAATTAGTCACCATTTAGGTCATCATAAAACTTGACATTTAGAAAATCAATTGATCTTGGTTTTGTTTTGTTTGTCACCGGTCTGTAATCATTTACTCGCTGTAAATTTGATCGAAGGAATACATTTTACGACTCCAAATGTCAATAATGACTTTGGTAACAAGTCGTTAGTTTGAAACATCGAAAACAAACGATTGTAATTTGTCGTCTTAATTGGTTACCAGTTGCCTCCTAACCAATCGATGGTCCAAGTCAATAGTTTGATTAAAATAAATTTGAACTGACCGTATCAAGTTCTGGTATCGACTGATTCTTTCCCCAACACCCGATGATCTTAGAATTCAGTATCTGTCTATATTTCTGAGATGAGGTATTATATACATTATTTACATTATTCGGACTATTGTCCTAATCTTTGTTGCCATATTTATTACAACGTTTCGGCCTTTCAGTATCTGTCTATATTTCTGAGATGAGGTATTATATACACTATTTACATTATTCGGACTATTGTCCTCATCTCTGTCGCCATATTTATTACAACGTTTCGGTCTTTCAGTATCTGTCTATATTTCTGAGATGAGGTATTATATACACTATTTACATTATTCGGACCACTGTCCTCATCTTTGTCGCCATATTTATTACAACGTTTCGGCCGTTGTACCCTCCAGCTTTCTTCAGGTGGTTGGAATGTCGAACGAACTGAACCCTTTATTTTGCTCACTGGG